CTACTCAGGAGGCTGAGATCTGAGGATCACGGTTCAAAGCCAGCCCGGGCAGGAAAAGTCCATGAGACTCTTATCTCCAATAAACCACCAGGAAGTGGCGCTGTGGCTCAAGTGGTAGAGCACTTGCCTTGAGCTGAAGAGCGCAGGGACAGCGCCCAGGCCCAGAGTTCAAGCCCCATGATCGACTCAAAAAGAAACAAAAACAAAGAAGAATACGTCAGGTTGTCCAATAAACCACCAGAATACCGGAAGTGGCGCTGTGTCTCAAGTGGTAGAGCGCTCACCTTGAGCTGAAGAGCTGAGGAACAGCGCTCAGGCCCAGAGTTCAAGCCCCACAACCGACCAAAAAAATAAAAAAAAGTCGCATGGACTTTCCTGCCCAGACTTGCTTCCAACTGAGCTCTTCGGATCTCAGCTAGGACTGTAGGAGTGAGCCACTGGCACCAAGCAATAGCAAGGGGGGAGATGTGGGGGTCACTTGGTCTATGGGTGAGGCCGACCACCATAAATGAAGGCCAGCTTCCCACCTCCCACCCCATCGTGGGAGAACAGGACCAGGGAGCTGCCACCCCTGAGATCAAAAGTGGTTTCCAGGCCTCCCAGGGGTTTCTAGGGGGTTTCTCCGGGAGTCCCAGCCTTCCAGCCTCCGGTCTCACCCGGCCCGCAGGTGCGCCGGCGCAGCGCTGGTCCATGCAGGTGCCGGCCGAGGTGAGCGCGGCGGCGGGCGAGGCCGCGGTGCTGCCGTGCACCTTCACGCACCCGCACCGCCACTACGAGGGGCCGCTGACGGCCATCTGGCGCGCGGGCGAGCCCTACGCGGGCCCGCAGGTGTTCCGCTGCGCGGCGGCGCGCGGCAGCGAGCTCTGCCAGACGGCACTGAGCCTGCACGGCCGCTTCCGCCTGCGGGGCAACCCGCGCCGCAACGACCTGTCCCTGCGCGTCGAGCGCCTCGCCCTGGCCGACGCCGGCCGCTACTTCTGCCGCGTCGAGTTCGCGGGCGACGTCCACGACCGCTACGAGAGCCGCCACGGCGTCCGGCTGCGCGTGACGGGTGAGGCGGGCCGCGGGGGCCGCGGGGGGCGCGGGGGCCGCGGGGGCCGCGGGGGGCGACGGGGCTGCGGGGGGCGCGGGGGCCGCGGGGGGCGACTGGGGGCGCGGGGGCCGCGGGGGGCGCGGGGGCCGTGGGGGGCGACGGGGGGCGCAGGGGCCGCGGGGGGCGACGGGGGGCGCGGGGGCCGCGGGGGGCGACGGGGGCCGCGGGGGGCGCGGGGACCGCGGGGGGCGCAGGGGCCTCGGGGGGCCGCGGGGGGCGCGGGAGGGTGCGGGG